TTTTTTTTCATGCATTTATCTGCCATCATTTTGATCTATGGGTGAGATAACATGAATTTAATATATGTGAATTATGATTTTATCAGTTACATAAGAATTTCTAGTCTTTCTTCCATGTGAAAAATTTTCTACCTGACTTCTTTTTAAATATAGTCTAGAGAGCCCTCTCTGTGGTGACTTTTAAGATAAAACCCGAAGGGTAAGAACAAACCAGTGAAGCAGAGTTCTGATGGAAGAGCGTTCCAGCTGGTCAGAATGGCATGTACAGGGGCTCTCAGGCGGGAAATAACACAAGGGTTCAAAGACATGAAAACCCCCTGTGGGTGGCTAGAACACAGCGAATAAAGAGGATACTGGCATAAGATGAGACTAGAGAAAAAACCAGGGCTAGATTATATCAGGCCTTATACTGCAGAAAAGAATGTAGATTTTTTCCATAATACAGCAGGAAGACATCACAGGTTTCTAATCATATGAGAAACAGGATCCACCTTACATTTTTAGAAGGTTGCTCTTGGAGCAATGTGAAGATGGACATGAGAAACTGATGATAAGTTCTAGAACAGGTACTGACTGTGCCTTCCCTTTACCTGTTGAATAAAGTGCAACCTCTTTGAACTGGGGCCATGACCCTTTGGGGTCTCCCCACCTCTTTGCAGCCAGCCCCGGCCCTGGCACAGAGTGCCTTGCGTGGAGCAGGTTCTCAGGGACCGTTCCACCTGTCTCCCAGCGCTATCTTCTTTTCCTTTGCTCCACCCAAGTTCCCAGCCCTCCTGTCCACTTGTCTGCTTCATTCCTGTCTTGCCCTATTACCCTGCCCCGAATCTCCCTTCTCATCTTTCTCTGGGACCAACTCTTAGCCATCTTTTCAAAGTCTCTGCTTGTTTGTTTTCCTGACTCCTGGAAGTCAGAAGTAATCTCTCCTGTATTGGAACTTCCAAGTTGCTCTGTGACCTTCAAAACTTCCTAACATGTAGTAATTATTGGTCTATATTGATCTCGTACCTGAGACTAAAATTTGAGACCAGAAATAGTATCTGATTGATAATTTTTAGTTCTCACAGCACCTACTAAAATGTCTGGCATTTAATGGTTATAATGTATTCTATATGTATAGAATAGATACATTCAATGTATCTGTTTGTAATATAATAAATAATATAGGAAAATGGCTAAAGGCTTCATGCTTATTCACCCAATGGCTAATGCAATAGGTATGTTAATCAGCCTCAGAGGCCATTTTTAAACCTTTCCCAGATACCTGGACTTCTAACTCATAGTTGCTTCTTATGATTGATGCTTCCTAATATAACAGTAGCTTCATAGCTGTAACTCATGCAACGACATATTAATGCAGATGTTTTCTGTATTATAGGTTTTCTAGTCAATGATCCCTTCAGAGAATGCGTTCTTTATACTTACATGTGACTAATTCAGTGGTTTGGGATTAGAGTAGTACTTTCTTCACCACCTGTTACCCATCTTCTGTAAGCAATAGACCTGTCCCTTCTCTGTTTCTCTCCAAAGTTTACAAAGTCGTATGTGTTGTTCTAGGAGCACAGCTTGGGACAGTAATTTCTCTTCCTCTTTCTGGAATGATTTGCTACTACATGAATTGGACTTACGTCTTTTACTTTTTTGGTAAGTTTAAAGATTTAACCTAAATTATATTGCAACAAATTCAAAATATAATAGTAGGCTAATAATTATTAAAAATATATATTTCAGGCTGGACAAGGTGGCCCATGCCTATAATCCTAGTACTCTGAGAGGCCAAGGCATCACTTTGGGTTAGGAGTTCAAGATCAGCCTAAGCAAGAGGAAGACCCCCCCATCTCTACTAAAAAATAGAAAAATCAGCCAGATGCAATGGTGCATGTCTGTTATCCCAGCTACTCAGGAGGGTAAAGCAGGAGGATCACTTTAGCCCAGGAGTTTGAGGTTGTAGTGAGCTAAGGTGATCTACTACACTCTAGCCTGGACAACAGAGTAAGACTGTCTCAAAAAAATAAAATACATACATATATATATATATATATACACACACACACACAACATATATACACAACATACACACACACATGTTCCAACCTACTGAAATAATCTTTTCCTGAGCTATAAAGTTCTACAGCTCTTACTCATGATTTGTTTCTCCAGTTGATGTGGTTAAAATGACCTAGTGAGTTGTGACTTGATGGTAGTTGTATAACATTTCTCAATAAAAGCTACTGTTAGATCTTAGATTTAAATGGAACATTTACTTTGAAAAACTACTGTCTTGGTTAGTATAAATTCAAAATGTATATTTTGAAAATATTACTTCTCAAGCAAAGTAGGATGCTGTGACTTGATAGTTTTCATCTTTTTTGTCTTTTTATTTAGTCCCAGGGTATTTTCTCAGTTTCATTGGCTAGATGATACACATTTTTAATAAATTAGATTTTCATATAGACACATCATACAGGAATTATATCTGCAATTGAAACAAAAAAATCAAACAAAACAGATACCCGTGGGGATATATAGATTGTGGAAATTTATTTTAAAGATTTGTCTGATAGACCTTGATAGACTGAAACCAGTTTTACATTGAATATATAGTTACATAATTTTTTCCAAACATATAAAAAATGCTGTTGGTACATTCTCCTTTTATTTGACTATTATTTTTCCGTTTGAAGGAGTACTTGGAATATTGTGGTTTATTTTATGGATGTGGTTCGTTAGCGACACACCAGAGACGAACAAGAGAATCTCCCAAGCTGAAAAGGAATACATTGCTTCCACATTAAAAAATCAGGTATGGACTTGGGAACATTTTAAAAATAATGTCAGGCATTATTTTCCCCAGAATCAGAATCTATTTTCAAATAGATGTTTCTACTGCGCACGCCCTTGGCAAAGTAGATCAGGCAAGGAAGATCTGTGTCTGAAACACTGTCAGAGGAATTCCACGGCGTTCTGTTTTCCATGGAAAGTATAGTTTTGTACATTATAAAAGTTTACTTTTCAAAGTCATCTTAAACCTTTTAGAGTAATGATTTTTCAAGTGAGTATTAAATTTGTTTTTTCTTTTTAATTAGTAGGAAATATGTTATTTATGGAAGGAATCTCATACCCGTATTCTGTTGGTTGTTAGAAAACCAGCTAGTGTGTCTATACAGTTTGAGCATCTCAAATCTGAAAGTCAAGCATCTGAAATGCTCTGAAATCCAAAACTTTTTGAGTGCTCATTGGAGCATTTCAGATTTCATATTTTTGGATTTGAGATTCTCAATCAATAATCAATAAGTCAGGGGAAAAAATCAGAACTCTGAAACACTCAGCTGCCCAGTATTTCTGATAAGGGAAACTCAACCTGCATCTGTGTTTTACACCAATCTGATGAAATGAGGAGGACAGCACAGTTACTGTGACATCATAATAAGATGCAGCCAGCTTGCTCTTCCAGAGTAGGCCTTTTGAAAAACAATTAGATCTTATTAAAACTAAATTTGTGTCACTTAAGCATAAAGCAAATCAGAAATAAGTGACTGTCATAATTCAAAATAGCAAATTTTCTTGCCAAAGAAACAAAATATATACCTTTTAAGTAGAACGAAACAAGAGCATTAAAACATTAGGAAAGATTAAAACGTCTGGGGTTTGTTTTAGCATTTCTTATTGGCGTCAATATCACTTTATTAGTTTGAAAACAGGAAATATTTTATCAAAAATTTTCCTTGCCCATTAAGTTATCAGGATTTTTTTTTTTAATATTTTGTGGAGATGAGGTCTTGCTATCATGGCCAGGCTGGTCTTGAACTCCTGGCCTCATGCAGTCCTCCTGTCCCTGCCCCCCAGAGTGCTGGGATTATGGGCGAGAACCCCTATGCCCAGTCTACACTTCAAATTTTTATATGTCATATAACTAGGCTGTAATTAAAACTTTACTCCTCAATATTTCTTTTTAAGTTCTTTAATTTTGCTACAAAAGTCCCTACAAGCAGCTGAACGTTAAGAAATACGACATCTCTTGGTCTTTGCCAAAGATGGGCAAAAACTTAGAAACAGAAGAAATCAGCAATGTTATTTTAAAAGTTACTTTGAGAGGTCAGCACAGCTGCTCATGCCTGATAATCCCAGCACTTCAGGAGGCTGAAGCAGGAGAGGATTTCTTGAGATCAGTTCAAGACCAACCTGGGCAACATAATGAGACTTCATCTCTACAAAAAAAAAAAGATTTTAAACATTAGCCAGGTGTTGTGGCGTGGACCAGGCCGCAGTGAGCTATGGTTGTGCCACTGCACTCCAGCCTGAGTAACAGAACGACACTCTGTCTCATAACAGAAGGTTACTATGAGCATTTGGTGTCATTTATGATGTTAATTAAACAAATCATCCATTTTTCCCCCTTAAGGGACAGATAAAAAGAATTTAATACATTGTAAACAGATCTCGCCCTGTAAAATGTATTTCCTCACATCTTGTCAGCATTGAGGATTAGCAGCTTGCCTCTTTCCAATACTTTATTTTTGTCATCAATTTTATGAGGTTTTTAAACTTTTCCGTTTTTTTATTATTCTTTAAAAAGCTTTCTCTATCTTGATAAGTGTCTCAATCTGCCCACATTCAAAGTTAGGTGATATTTCTGTATGCTTCACTGAGATGCACGAGGCATTAGGAGAACTAGGTTCCATAGAGCCTCGGACTCGTTCTTAAAGCAGATGGTGGTGTTTGAAAAGGTGGGGAAATGACCACGTGTCCCTGGAGGCTCCGTCCTTAAGTCCTGGATCCAAGAACCGCTCAGCACCTGCTCTGCCCTCCTCGTTCTCTCAACAACCTTGTGAGACCTTCCTGTGACCTCGATTCCCTGTCAGCTCCTGAGGACTTAGAGATTGTCAGAGGAAAAAGAGCACCGAAGGCGGGGTGCTCAGGCGGCCGGGAGGGGACAGGAAAGCTTCCCGGCCTCGGGGCCTTCCGGCAGATCGGTCACACGCACCTGCATGGGACAAAGCCGGGACTCGGGGTTCTCTGCAGTCCAGGGAAAGCGCACCGTGAGGAGCCACGGGACCCCTCAGTGACAGAGTTAGAGGATCTTACCACAGTTCAGACTTGCATTAGGTGAAGTGGGCGAGGGGGTAAGAACAGGGTTTTGCTGTGGATTTGGGGTTCTCAGAAAGCAGCAGCAGCAGCCGGGTGTGGATCTCGGCACTTTGGGAGGCCAAGGTAGGGGGGTCGTTTGAGGCCAGAAGTTCCAGACCAGCCTGAGCAACAGAACAAGACCCTGTCTCAAAAAAAAAAAAAAAGAAAGAAAGAAAGAAAGCAGTAGCAATTCTATGATTGAATATCTTAATTTTTATCTAAAAGGTGAGGCCAAAGTTGTAATTAGTAAAGGCACAGCAGTACTCTCAGCTGGGAGAGGAAGACGTCTCCCCTTTTGTAGGGTGTAGCCTTCTTGGTCTCCTCTGTGCTCAGACCTCACTGTGGAGTGCTCCTGTTTTCCCCAGTGGTCACCGGGGAGTGGTCTTGTTTTTGTCTTGCTCCACATTGCTGGCAGAGTGGCCTTGTTCAAGGGAGCACCATGGCCGGCTTGCCCGAACCGGCCTGGCTCAGCTGACCGCAGCCAAGCCCTGGTTTTCTTCTTCCTCACGGGTGAAGCTGTATCCAAACAGTCACGAAAGGGAAGTTAAAGTTAAGCAGGCAAATTGGGGGAGTGAGGAACGTGGAAGGGCATGACAGGCGCAGGGCAGAGTGCTGACCTCCACGATGTGCCCTGTTAGTGTTGCTCTGATAGGCACAGAGTGGCAGCGGGTGGAGGAGGCCAGAGGAGGCCAGGCCAGGGAGGTCCCCTGGTCTCACCAAGGAGCTCAGGCTTCATCCCCTCAGGCACTGGGATGCTGTGGAGCTGCTTTGCCTTTCAGATTTGTGTGGAAGGAAGATTTGTTGGCGCAAGAAGTCTCCGTGAGAATGCTATCCTGGTTATCCAGCAAAGAGTCAATATTTATGGGTAGAAATGTGATGTCATTCTTAACGTAGACTTGACAGTTTTGATAGCACCTAAGGTTCTAAACCTGATGCTACAACTGATGGTTGCAAGAGGTGGGGAAGGATAGTGGGGAAGGGGAAGGTGAAGAGAGATTGATTAATGAGTTCAAGTATGCGTTTTGATAAAAGAAATCAGACGTGGTGTGAGATTAGCAGAGTGATTACAGTTTACAGTAATCTATTACACATTGCAAAATAGCTAGAAGAGAATGATTTGAATGTTTTCTAGCACAAAGAAGACAAATATTTAAGGTGATATCTCAAGTACACTGATTTGATGTTTACACAATTACAGGAGTGTATTAATACTAAATTATCACATGTACCCTGAAACTATGTACATCTATTATGTATTAATAAAATATTTTAAGAAAAAAATACTGCAAAAAGAGGAACAAAACCTGCAGGGCATCCTGCAGTGAAATTCAGAAGGTCATGGCATGACCAGCTCCTGGATAGACCCAGGCTGGTGAGTGCTCCCAGTGCTGTTTGGTTTTTTCTGTTTTTAAGGCAAAGCATTTTATTTATTTTCTGCTACATATCTTTTTTTTTATTAAATTGTAAACACATACATCATGTATACATTAATAATTTATGGGGTACAATGTGATGATTTCATATGAATTAGGAACGCTTATATCACACTGGTTAATATATACCTCATCTCTTTTACTTAATTATTGTGTTAAGACATGTACCCTTAGATCCAACATGTACCCTTGCATTATGCGCCATAGGTGTGATCCCACCATTCACCTGCCCTCCATCTGACCTCCCCCTTCTCTCCCATCCCCGCCTCCTCCCTCCTTCGTCCTGGGCCATAATTGTGATCTATTCTTCATGTGAAAGTGTGAGTGATTGTAAATTGGTTTCATAATAGTACTGAGTACATTGGATATTTTTTCTTCCATTCTTGAGATACTTTACTAAGTAGGATATGTTCCAGCTCCATCCATGTAAATGTAAAAGAAGTGAAGTCGCCATCTTTGTTTAAGGCTGCATAATATTCCATGGTATACACATGCCACAATTTATTCATCCATTCATGGGTCGATGGGCACTTAGGCTTCTTCCATGACTTGGCTATTATGAATTGAGCTGCAATGAACAATCTGATGCAAATGTCTTTGTGATAAAGTTACTTTTGGTCTTTTGGATATACACCTAGTAGAGGAATTGCAGGATCAAACAGCAGGTACGTCTACTTTTAGATCCCTGAGTATTCTCCATACTTCTTTCCAAAAGGGACCTATTAGGTTGCACTCCCACAAGCAATGCAGAAGTATTTCCTTTTCTCCACATCCATGCCAGCATCTGTAAGTTTTGAGACTTTGTTATGTGAGCCACTCACACTGGAGTTAGATGATATCTCAAAATGGTTTTGATTTGCATTTCTCTGATGATTAAAGATAATAAGCATTTTTTCATGTGTCTGTAGGCCGTGAGCCTGTCTTCAGAGAAGTTTCTATTCAAGTCCCTTGCCCACAATGAAATGAGATTACTTGTTCTTTTCTTATAAGTTTGAGTTCTCTGTGGATTCTTGTTATCAATCCTTTGTCAGAAGCATAACCTGCAAATATCCTCTCCCATTCTGAGGGCTATCTGCTTGCTTTACTTACTGTGTTTTTGGCTGTGCAGAAGCTTTTTAGTTTGATCAGATCCCAGTAATGTATTTTTGGTGTTGCTTCAATTGCCAGTTTCTTCAAGTGTTTCTCCTGCACTCTCTTCAAGAATCTTTATAGTTTCATGTCTTAAGTTGAAATCTTTTATCCA